TCCACATAGAGCTCCCCTATGACCCAGCAATCCCACTTTTGGGTATTTACCCGAATGATCACAAACAAACCCATACTAAAGCTACTAGCACAACAATGTTTATTGCAGCATTATTGACCATAGCTAAGGTATGCTTCCAACCCAGATACCCCTCAGTAGATGAATGGATCAAGAAAATGTACTATATATATATATATATATATATATATATATATAGACATATATACATATATATGTATGTCTATATTTGTATATATATACATATAGAATTCCATTAAAATGAATGACATTGCCCTGTTTTTTAGGAAATGGAAAGACTTGTAAAAATTAATTGAAGTAAGGGAGGCCCAAAGAAACATAGGTCCCATGGTTTCCCTTATTTGCAATATCTAGTAAATGTCTGAGACAAGCAGAAAAGGTCAGATAAGTTGATGTTAGGTGAAATGAACCCAATCCTCTGCTCCCCCAAGTCCCCTTCTAGAAGTAAATCCCCTTAGTTTGGGACATTTAAAAAACCTCCTCCCCAGTCTCTCTCACAGTGACCAAGTTCTTATTACCCTTAAAGCTTCTCAAATCTCCTTTTTAACCCCAAATGAATATCTCCTCTTTCCTGCTACCTGCTGAGGGCTAAAACCCATTATCCTTCAGCATCTTTCTGCCTCTCTCCTGATTCCCATTCACTCTCCCACAAACCCCCATTTTAGGAATACAAAAACCCTAATGGCTCCTACCACTTGCTTCAGGACCCTGAAAAAATAATCAGTGTCATCCTATCTGTTCTCATTTATCCAACTTTTGTGTCCTACATCTTCTCCAACTCCCCAGTCTTTTCAGTTTTTTGATTTAAACAACACTTTCTTTATTATCTCCTTACACATCACCTCAAGGCCCATCTTTGCCTTCAATTAGGAAAGACCCAAATACTCTCCAGGCTCAGCAAATAACCCAGACAATATGCCTCAAGGATTTAGAGAACTCCACCATTATTTTGACCAAACCCTACAGTAGGACTTGACCAATCACAACCTGTTCCCTAGTTTTCTTCTTCAATATGACCTCCTTCTCTTCAGTCTTTCAGTTGAGACAAATACCAACAACCTGATCAGTAGTTGTTCAAAGGGTCTATATCCTCAGAATCCTCCCCTAAGTGTACCAGTTTAGTTAATTATTTGTATGTTTATAGTTTAGACTTAAATTCCCGAAACTAACAAAATCTTCCATACTGTTACATATATAACACATATTGTTTGTAATAAATATGCAAAGATACAAAACCTCTACTTCAATTTAATTATTCTTCAGTTTGTTCTCATTTCATTCTCCCCTTCAGCATTACAGTGTTAAATCAATCTTTCTAAAGCATTGCTTTTATTTTTGTTATCACCTGATTTTAAAAAGGTAATGATTTTCTACCACCTGAACTTTTCTTTCCTAAGACCTACAGCTTTTCCTCCAGCTTTTTCCTTGCTGTGGTTTGAATGTGTCTTCTCCAATATGACAGTATTAAGAGGTGAGGCCTTTCCAATTTGATTAGGAAATGGAGGGACAAAGTGAACAAATGCAGCAGTTGTGGCAAAGGAACTATATAACTTGTGTGTGGGAAAAGAGGGATAATCTGGGAAAGAGCAAGGAAAGAGGTGACATTGTCCAAAAAGAAATGCATTTTTACCTGACTTATGTAACTGTAACCCCCCCCCCCGTATATCCCCTTTATAATAACCATACACATTTTTTTTGGTCAGTCATGTGGCTTGAACTCTGGGCCTGGGCGCTGTCTCTCAGCTGTTCAGCTCAAGGCGAGCGCTCTACCACTTGAGCTACAGTGCCACTTCCGGTTTTCTGGTGGTTTATTGGAGATAAGAGTCTCACGGTCTCTCCTGCCCGGGCTAACTTTGAACCGCAATCCTCAGATCTCAGCCTCCTGAGTAGCTAGGATTACAGGCGTGAGCCACCAGTGCCCGGCTTTACCATACACATTTTTTAAGTTGACAAAAAGTAATAAATACCTTTCAAGAATTAGTAAAAAAGTAAATACCAAACAATCCACTGACCTTCTTAACCCTCATGTTTCTTGGGGATACAAATCCTTAAAAGACTCGGCTCAGTTGTGCCAGATGTTAGTCACACCTAGGGGTCATTATTTCTCATCAGGGATGAGCTATACCTCCCTGCAGAATTCAGGACCTCCTCAATTACCACCTGTCTCTGTCCAACTAAGAGCATCTGGCCCTTCTTGGCCTTCTTTAACTTCTTTCGCCTCTGGATTCCCATTTTTTCCTTATAGACTTTCCCTTGCCCTCTGTCACTAAATGGGCCCTTTTCATTCAGCATGATTGCGAGTAGTGGTTCTAGAGCATTTTGAGAACTATCCTCTAGGTTTTTCATTGACTGCTCTGCTGCCAATTCCAAGTGGGATAGAACAAGCCATAGAAACACAAGAGAAATGGCAAGTGAAGGAGCCTCAACTCCAAACAAGCAGGCAACAGATTCTGATTTCTTCAAGGAGTCTTCTGAATGGTTGAACTGTTCCTTCTCTTGTACTATTCAAAGAACATGACCATATATTGAGTCTGAGCATGATCTAATGTATTTCCCCCTCTTTTGGCATCCTTTTCTTTTTACTATCTATTCATATTGATGCTCTTTAGAGACTGAGGTGACAAGGCTCAGCCCAGACCATCATGCACTAGATACCTTCATCTTCCCATGAGGAATAATGACCAATAATCAAACTAGTCCTCCAGTGGTTCATCTTAAGTCACATTGATGCCCTGGCTCTTTTTGCCAGAGAAAAGTACTCATAGAGATTCTCATGGGAAACTAGTGCTGCTTAATACCCTGATCTAAATTTCTGAAGTAGGTGAAAGAGAGTGAGAGTGAGAGTGAGAGAGAGAGAGAGACAGAGACAGAGACAGAGACAGAGGTATGGAGGAGGAGAGGGGAAGAGAGAAAGGTATGGAGGGGGTGAGGGAGAGAGGGAGAGGTATTTCCTAGGAAAATATACTAAGTAATATTGCAGAACAGTAAATATTTGAACAGAAATACACAACTAGCTCAGAAAATATACTCAAGTAACTGTAATCAAAGCATGGAAACTTTCACCAAAATGAATGTTCATATATCAGTGAACTGAGCAATATAATGATATTCAAGCAGTGTTGTAGCCTGCATATAGGGCAAAGAAGAATCACAGTAGATTTGTAATCAAAAGGACGATTGATAGCATAAAAGGAGGATTACATTGGAGGAAGCAAAGGATATCCAGGAAGAAATACAAATTTAGATAGTCTAGTTGGAATCTTGCTCTAACTCTAACACAACCCGCAAAATGAATGAATTAAAATGGTTATTAACTGCCCAAATTGTATAGATTTGTCTCAGAACCTCCAAGCATTCTAGACAAAATTTATGTCCATCTTAAGATTTATTTCTTTCAGTGGGTCTCTCCCTAAACCTGTGCAGTGAATTTCTCTCAGGTCTTATCAAGAGGATGTAACACTTGGGGGCAAAGATGCAGCTCAGGAGGCCTCCACTGGAGGCCAAGATGGAGAAGACCTCCACGGCCACCAAGACCTTCTCCTTGGTGCTGTGGTAGACAGGCAGGAAGGTGAGCCACACACTGCAGACATCAGCATGCTGAAGGTCAGGAACTTGGCCTCATTGAAGGTGTCAGGCAGGTTCCTGACCAGAAAAGCCACAGTGAAGGTGGCCAGGGCCAGGGCACCCAGGTATCCCAGGACAGAGTAGAAAGCAGTGAGGGAGCCCATGTTGCACAGGATGATGATGTGGCCATGTTCAGAGTGTGCATCTATGTCCACAAAAGGAGGAGAGATTCCCAGCCAGAGACCACAGAGAGTCACTTAGATGAGGGTACAGATGGGGAGGATGAGGTTAGGAGTCCTGGACAACAGCCACGGTCTCACGTTTCTCCATGGATCAGTGAGTGTGAAGGCCAGAAGCACAGTGATGATCTTAGCCAGGACCGTGGAGACAGCCATTGTGAAGACCTCTGCGAAGGTGGTGTGCTGCAGGATGCACGTGGCTTTGTTGGGACGGCCAAGGAAGAGCAAGGAGCAGAGGAAGCAGAAGGTGAGGGAAATGAGCAGAATGTAGCTGAGGGCCCGGTTATTGGCCTTGACAATAGGGGTGTCTTGGTGCTTGATAAACACCCCAAGAACAGCAGCTGTTAGTGCAGAGCAGCAGAGAGCCATGCAGACCAGAGCCAGGCCCAAGCGGTCTTCATAAGCAAGGAAGCTCTCAGTTTTCCTGAGGCAGTGGTTTCTTTGGGTGTTGGCAAATTGATGATCTGCACACCTGACACACTGCTCCATGTCTGGTGAGGAGTGAGAATCACTATTAGTCTGGGTCCCATATTTGTCTTTCCTCACATCCTCCTCTACTCAAGCTGCTCATTTTCCCTTATTCACCAGTTGACCTGTATTGCTCTCAATACCAACTAGTATAACTCTCTGTATCAAAATATGTTCACGTGAATTCTCTTTCTTTCACACATTTCTTCCTCTTTCCTTCTTCCCTTTCTCTTTTTTCTGTTTATCTCCCTTCCCTCTTTCCCTTCCTCATTTCCTCACATCCCCCCTCGTCTCTCTCTTTCTCCCTTTCTCTCTCTCTCTCTTTCTTTCTTTCTTTCTTTCTTGCTTGCTTGCTTGCTTGCTTGCTTTCTTCGTCTGTCTGTCTGTCTGTCTGTCTTTCATCCAGTGCTTGAACTATGCCCCTAGGAATTTTTCCTGAGTATTCATTCTCAAAACTACCACTCCACCATTTGAGTCACAGCTCAAATTCCAGCTCCTTTGGTGCTGAATTGTGGAAAAGATTTTTACTGAGTTTCCTGCTCATCATTGCATCGAAGCTCCATCCTCAAATCTGAATTGTCTGAGTCACTTGGATTACAGGTGTAATATATAATTACCTAGCCATCCTGCTACATTCTTGACAGGTCATACCTCTCTGGCTCTCTGCTACACATTCAAGAAATAATGGAAAATACAGAATCAGCCCGAGCACTTCAATTTAAAAAGAAAGTTTAATCCTAAACTCAACCTACTACTTACCCCAAATATAAACTTCCTGAGCATTTGATCTATGGGAGGAGGAGTTGGGGAGGTTGGAAGGAATGGATGGTAAGAGAAAAACAAAGGAGGAGGCAACAATACTCAATAAGAAATGTACTCATTTCCTTACCGATGCAAATGTAACCACTCTGTACAGGATTTTAACATTAAAAATGTATTAAAAAACAGAACAATGCTCCTCCACTGATATGAGAGGATCTCAGAAAGCTCAGCTTGAGGAGGGAGAAGAGACACGAAATGGAGATGGTGAACTACTTCTGAATCAATGATAATTCAGTAATTGCTAGTCAACCTAGTGCCAGTGTCAGATATGGAGTGATCATAACAAAAAAAACACCAAAAAAGCCCCAAAGCCTCTTGTATTATTAGGTATGCTAAATCGAAAATAACATTTAATTAGGAAAGAGTAGCAATGAGCATTCACAAATGAAAGTCTGTGTTACATTCACAATTCCATTTAGATTTGCATGTCATTTCAAACATCAACAACTAATCCTTGATATTTTCTTTTTATATACTCTCTTTAAATAAAAAAAACATGTGACTGAGGAGAGGGGAACAGGGTATTGTAATGGAGGGGCAGTGGGTTGTTTCTTCTAAGGAGAAGTATGGTTAACGGTAGTTATAGAACTTTGGGTGAAGGTGCATATGTGTTCCTGCTGTTTTATTGTATATCATTCCACTCGTTCGGATAGACTGAAAGTTAAGAAGGAGAGATGGGGAATTTCTCTATAAGTCACAGACTCACCTGTCGCATTATTAATCTCATTCTCTGGGCAAAGAATGCAGGCAAAACAACAGGTAGCATTTCCCTCCAGAGAGGCCTTCCTGAATCCAGAACCACAGTTCTCAGTGCAGACAGACTGAGGAGTCTGGGAACATTTAGATGAAGGGTAGTGACTATTCATCCTTTTACCTGACATCCCAGACACTCCAGTACTTTAAGGGAAAAGATCATCAAAACACAAAAACTTTAAATATATACAACGAGGCCTTCTTACAGTTTCATGTAACATGACCTGAAGAATATATGGGGTCTCGACATCCAGCCCCTCATGCTATCAGGAAGTCATGGAGCCTTGAAGAGGTGGATGTTAATTCTAGGAAATTAGGAAATGGGAGTTAACCCTGCATCCCATTCTTGTATCAGGTGATGATGTGTTTTCTCTCATGAGAAGAACATAACCAAGGGAAACTTTAAATCCACACTCTAATGCACAGCTAAGTGCTTTGAAGGTGCTTCTGTACCCAGGGTTATTCACATCTCACTCTCTTGACTTCCCAGCTGCCATGAGGTGGGTGAACTTCACTGGCAGATGCTCCTTTCATTACAACTTGTGTCAACACAGATCCAAAAGCAACAATCTACCCAAGCATGGTCTGAAATCTCCAGGCAGAAGCAAAGCAAGCCCTTCTGCCTTCTCATTTGATTCCCTCAGGTATTTGGTCACAGTGTTGGAAAGATGATTCACAGGTGGCATTTAGCTTTTATGATATTCAATATGCAAACATAGAACAACATATTGATAGTGAAATGTTCTCCTATTCCTTCCATGAATCTCTTAGTAAGAAACTTCCAGAAACATTAAGTGGTGAAATGTACACGACTGAACCATAGTTTTATTGAACAAGTTTTTAAAAAAAGGGTAAGCTTATTGCTTATTTATACATAGAGTATGACATTATGCTTAGAAACAACAAACTCTGGGGGAGAAATAGGATATGGTGATACTGTCTACAAGCATTGTTATTGTAACCTGACTAAGGAAATTGTAAGCTCTTTCTACAACTACTTCCTAATAACAATACTTTTTTTAAAGGAGAGAGTAAAAAAAGTAGAAATGACCCACCTTGGTAATTCCTATGGGCCACTCTATCAGATTTTCAAACAAAATCAGTTGTTGCCCATGTGGCCTAGATGGAGAAAACTCGCCAACTTTCACCCTTTGTCCCAGACCTTCTGGAAAATTCCAAAAGCTCTTAATGTCATACTCTGCCTCCAATTTCCTTTCCTCATTCAAAACCACGTGGTCTCCAACAGGATTGTTAAATTGGATCTTCTTCAAAAAGGGATGCAGCTAAAAGGGACACATTATAGTATGGTGAAGTGCTTCCCAGTGTTGTCACAGAACCCCAGAACAATGGATTACTCTTCATTCCCATCCCCTGATTCACACACACCACAGAAATCCAACCAATTGTATCAAATACAGGCCCACAGCAGACTAAAGTGTTACCAAGTTCTAAAACCTGGGTATCCAGGATTGGATGCAGAAACTCAATTTCAAGGGAATGCAACTCCAGCTACATCTAACAAAATAATGAATTATCATATGACAGACCTCAAAGACTTTCAATTGCATTCCAATCACTTATTTTATGATTGTGATCAGAGAGTAAGTCTGAAATTAGGTGAATAATATACCAAGTAGGATAGTAAAATATTTATGACAATTATGAAAGACTACTTTAAGCAAGACTTAGTTCATTTTGGTGTGTGTGTTTGTGTGTGTGTGTGTGTGTGTGTGTTAGTGTGTGTGTGTGTGTGTTTCTATCCTGTGACACAAACTCAGGGCTTAGGCACTCAAATTGAGGTGGTTTTATTTTCTTTTCAAGGTATGCATTCTATCCATTGAGCCAAAGCTCCACTTCTGACTTTTGATAGTTAACTATAGTCAGGAGTAAGCCACAGGTGTGAGCCAGTTGTGTCCAGACAATATTAGGTTTTCAAGAATTAGTCACCTTGATCTGTTATTTTAAAAAGTTTCAAGGACAATTTGGATATATTGAAAAGGGGATGGCTTTTTCCACACATAGGGAGGATGGGGACAGAAGACACAGCTCTTCCTTTTCATGGATGCAGCATTCTTCAAGAACATTGTCTTCACAGCTCTACATTCACTCATGTAGAGTATGACAGGCCCAATATTTCTTATATTTTCCTAAATGGAGCCAGATGAGTTAGTTCCATCTGCTATGAAAGCTTCTATAGAAAGTCTATATGCCTAGAGTAGGTCACCCAAAAACAAAGCCATTACCTGTGAAGAGAGATATGCCCTTGGTTGACCATTGTGCCCTGGTGGCTCTTCCATGTGATGAAGAAATATCTGGTGGAGAGCGTGGGCCACAGCATACACAGCATTGTAGATGTTGTAACTCTCTTCTGATATAGTCATGTCAAAAATGTGCCTCAGCAACCAATGGAGTGTGGCATTGTATGAACAGTGCCCCAAGTCTCAGCTGTCAGACTTAATCAGTAGGCTATTAACAGACTGAATCCATGACCTAGGAAGGGAATTTTTCCTAAGTTATTTGACAAGGTACCTTTCAGAATAAAACTGGTGAACAGAAAAGTGTTTCTATGATGATGAAAGAAGGTGAGAGATGCATGGAAGGAGTGGATCAGAAAATATCTTTTACCAATGGTGGCATCATCATAGGGTGAGTTCATGACCCAGACTTTCCTTGTAATTAAAATGTGCCCAAATTTAACAATAAAGCTTAGTAGAAATTTACTGTCCCAATAAATGATAATCACATTGGTTGATGAGTCCATTAGCTGGCGATACTTCGATAAATCATCTGAGTATTCTGTAGAGGCATTGTAAGGGATCATGTTCTCAAAGGCAAAACAGACTCTACTCTTGCCCATCTCTTCTCTCAATTCTGAGAGGAACCACACACCATAGTTGTCTTCAATGATGAACAGTCCCACCCAAGTCCAGTTGAAATGAAGCATCAAAGAGACCATGGCCAGGGCTAGATATGAGTCTTTGGCTGCCATCTGATAGACAGTCCCAAACTTTCCATGGTCACTCAGGAGAGGATCAAAAGTCCCAAAAGTGAGCTACAGGGAAAAAATAAACACAACACCAGGAAGAGGATGGTAATAGGCAAGCCTCAGTCCTGATGTGAGCTAAACAACAACTGGCAAGGGTGGGAGCAAAAGTTTGCTTATCCCATTTGCAAAGTCATCTCCCATGTTCCAAGCACTTTGAATACATGTGTGGATAAGGCTCAGAGCTTTGGCTCATCCTTTCCTCTCTTTAAACCTCTCCTTTTATTTAGAGCAAAGAAAATGTGTCTGTTCCACCCATTTTTGGAGTCTTTTCCCTCTGAGATTATGCATTTGGAAGGGTTCGTGATAATACCTCTTCAGCCTGTCCAGGACAGAGTCCATGTGGACATAGCTTCACATATGCCCACCTCTCCCAGCCTCACCTGTGGAAGTTGGTAGAGATCCAGCAGTGTCCCGATTGGAACAGATGTGCTTGAGGTTCCTGTGAGTACTGCTAAAGCTTTGCTGTCTCTTCTGCAGGTGTAATTGGGGCTGTTTTTATTTTTCCCAGACAGCCAGATGAGAGGATCCTCTAACAGATCAGTACCTAAATAATGTGCACTATAGATCTCATACCCCAGAGTCATGTTGGGTAGCAGATGGGGATTCTTGTTGATCTCCTCCACAGCCAGCAGCAGGGTGAGAAGCAATTGGTATTTCTTTAAGTTGATCCTGCACAAAGGTCACAAATTTTGGGTAGGTATATGCTTATCACAAATGATTAACTGCAAGTCTCATGACTTTTTTGAATCAAATGCTTATCTCTACCCACAGTAATATGTGTGGATCCTATCTTCTAACAGGATGGCATTCTAATTTGGTGTCTTAGTATTGAGAGATCTCCTAAACAGGCCTTGATCAGCATACATGAGGTGACTATTCTTCTGAGATTGTAGAAAGGATGGGGATGAACAAGGTGGCTTTTCCTCTCTTGCACATGTCTATGTGAAAAACACTGCTGTCTGTTGGAACACAGGGGCATGCCCAGCTCACACCCCAAATCATTAACTACCTTGAATTAGCTGTACACATATGAAAAAATTCTTAGAAACACATTTCAAATTTGGAGCACATTGTCCACCTGAGTTCGACCAATATGAGCAGAGAGGCAGTGCCTGCTGTCTCAGGAGTAAATAGCAAACAGGCTGCCTTGTCTCTGTGCACTCTTGCAAAACTTTCCCGATGGTGCACCCTTCTGCAAACAAGTGAATCTTACCTTGTAAGGAAATTAAAGAAAACAAAGAAATTCAATTCATGTCATGTGGTAGAGGCACACTAAGCTGACTTAGAGAATGCCATCATTCAAGGTGATTCCTCAGAAGCAGTGCAAGATGGCAACTGAGGGAGAGAGAACCTGAAGATTGCCTCACCCAACAAAGAAGAGATGAGAGTCATGGGGTGTGGAATGGAGAGTTCTTCTCTAGTGGAACAAAACAACAGAAAAAGATGTGCGAGAAAAAGAGTAAAGAAGCCACCTCCATGTTCCTCCCATGCAACAGCATTAGTAGCTCATTATGGACAGAAACTCTCCAACATTGCTGGGAGGAAGAGAATTAAAGTTAAATCTCAGCACCATCCCTGTATCCTAGGACCAGTGCTGGGGAAGAGATTATAGTTTCTACTCTTGTGTCCAGATATTTAGATTGTCCCTCTGGAACTGGTTTAGGACAGAGAAAGAAGACACTGCCACAACCTCCCTCCTCCAATCTTGTGAATGACAGCAGGTACAGAATACAACCCCCTAGTGAAGAGGGCATAAGATTGGGTCAAGGTTTTTCTTAGAACCCTTTATCAGGCATGTAATGGTTGGACCAATAATCCAGAATAAACTAGAGGCACTCTTTGATCATGGCACCCCAGCTTCCATTGGAATCTTTCAGGAGGTGTTGGAAGGTCCCTGAGGCACAACCAAATGCCATTTCCATCAGTTTCCACCATGGGTGGAGTAGGCTGACACCTGTCTTCCTACTTAGCCTTGTGAAGCCACTGTTGCTATGTGACTGTGGTGATATCTGGCTCAGTCCCAGTCTTGTTGCACAGTGAAGAAACTCGAGGACCATTGCCCTAGAAAGATAGTGCTCAACATGGAAGCAGGCAGAAACTTAGGTTGCTCTAGGAAACTAATGTGCACTGGTCTATGGCAGCATAAGCTGGAGTATGGGCCACCTGACAGTTTGGGCTTTCTGGATGGGAGATTAAGCCTGAGTGTATGGCGGTGTTCACCAAGATGGCCTTGTGGCTTCCTTTGTTTTTTTGTTTTTGTTTTATTTTGTCAGTTGTAATGCTTGAACTCTAGGCCATGGATCTGTCCCTGAATTCTTCAGTTCAAGGCTAGTGCTCTACCACTTGAGCCACAGTGCCACTTCTGGTTTTCTGATGTTAATTTGGAGATAAAAACCTCATGGATTTTCCTGCCTGGGATGGCTTTGAACCCTGGTACTCAGATCTCAGCTTCCAAAGTAGCTAGGATTACAGGTATCAGCCACCGGTGCCCAGCTGTATCTTCCTTTACAAACTTTACCAAGCTGCTGTGACACAGCATGGTTCTCCATTCTACTTTCCATGGGTGGGATACAGGGAATTAAGATGGTGATCTTGTCCCATAGCTTAGTGTGGGCCATATGATAGCCCTAGAACTTTGCCATCACCCCATAGCCTTTGGCAGAGCTCTATAATCATCTCAGTACCTGGGAGTCATCTACCACCAGACAGTCTGAATTCTATTCTAGCTATCACTAATTGTGTATGGTTGTGGCCATCTTGGCCCATGAATGCACTTGTACCACATTCAACCTCAAACTTAGTGCTCACCTAGCACTGTATTGGTCTAGATTGCAGTGGACTGAGGATGCTGTAATCAGGCAGGATAGACTATGGAAAATGAGTCCTGGTTAGTGCATGCCAGAATTCAAAACTCAAGCTTAAAACTTGTCCATCTACTTCCCTTAATGTTAAGGGAATGAAGTCTTTTAAGGGAAAATGGAGTAGAATAGATTAGTAAAAAAAATGAGGTTTGGGAAGCTCACAGTAAATAGAGAGGTATTCATCCATCTACATATCTTAAGATTAAGGGACCAAAGTTATTTAGCACAAAAAGAAGCTGGATAAATTATGGGAAAAAATGAGTCCTAGTGAAGGCAACTCAGAAACATGTGATTTAGAAACACAGGGCTACTATCTTTACTTCAAAGAGAGACGACAGGTTGCATTTCTCATCATTTGAATTAGCAGTTGTCTTGTTGTGTGTACGCCTTCCTCCAAGATGCTCCCCCAAACTTTAGCAACATCCTACCCCAAATATAGACAACAGCACACCTTCTTCCCTCAAAGATAATCATCTTGAAAGAATGCCCAAAACATACAGAAACTCAGAAAGTTTAACACCAGGAGTGATTAGAACAAAAGTGAATCAACTATGTTTGCAAAACTTTGAAGTCAGTCCTCCCACCTTTACCATATGAATACCCCTGGCAGCCCAAGAGCTGTGTGTCTCTCCTCAGTTAGAGTGTATCTTTGCCTTTCTGTTTCCTGTTTTTCTATCTGCTTGTTTGTTTGCTTCCTTACTCAGTAAAGCTCTGCCACATTTTCTTACTGTTGTGACTTGTATAGAATTTCTTCTTCTGTGATCAAAGTCCAGGATCTCAAGTGAAGAGTCCCTACTTTTATAGGAAAACTTCATTAACCTTCATAGTTTTGGTGACCCTGCTGGTTGGTATTGCAGAGTTCTGGTTTCCACAGCTCTGACTAAGGCCTGTTCTAGCACAGAGATCTTGCCACTGCTAGGCAGAATCCACTCACAAGTCCATTCCCTGTGGACGAGGTATATGTTCCCTCTGTGTACCCAGGAGGAGGCATACTTGGACCCACGAATCATTAAAGTTCTCGTGAGGTTTTTAGAACCACAGAGTATTTGTCATCAAAATTGCCTTTGGTTTTCTCTGGTACTGAAGTGGTTTATCACCTCACAGCTGACTTCCCTCAAGGCCCTGGGCTTCCTCTAGTGGTGACATTGTGGAAGTCACTACAGACTCAGGAACACTGAAGCCTGCCTGGAATTTCTGGAAAGACAGGCAAAAAGCCAGACCATTGGTGTAAATCCCAGACATTTCAAAGGACAGTTTGTTTCACATGCCACTATGGATGAAGTATGTTCCAGAACAATGAGTTCTCCTAACATTCATTGTAATCATTTTGGGGAAATTCTGATAGAATCTCAACTCTCATGGATGTTTGCTGATGTCCTTGTGTACAATTTAACTCTCAGGCTTTACAGCTAGAATGTCAGTTATACTAAATATGAATTGGGAACTGGTGGCTAAGGCCTGTAATTATAACTACTAAGGAGGCTGATATAGGAGAATTATGTTTTGTAGTCACTTTGGGCAGGAATGTCTGTGACAGTCTTATGTGCAAGCAACTCAACAGAAACTGGTGCAAAACTGTTGGTCAAGTGGTAGAGTGCCAACCATGACAGAAAAAATGCTAAGGGACAGCCATCAGTACTTGAGATGACGCCTGAGTATCAGTATATGTGTGACCATGAACACACACACACACACACACACACACACACACACACACACACAC